TAGGGGGAGAGCGTAGGGCAGTTCCTCAGAATCTTGCACCTAGAATTATCCTATGACTTGGTAATTCCACTTATGGGGCCTACACCTCACAGAGCTGAAAGCAGGGCCTCGAGGACGTATCTGTGCCCACGCTCATAGCAGCCTGATGCACGGTAGCCAAAAGGTGGAAGGAACGCAGGTGTCCATCAACCAACGTATGGGTAAGGAACGGTGGTGTGCACAGGCAGGCGAGTGTCACTCAGCCTTAAAAAGGAAGCGGATTCTGACACCCGACTCTGACATGGACGATCCTTGAGGACATCCCGCGAAGTGAAGCAAGCCAGTCACAAAAGCACAGGTACCGTAGGCTCCTATTGCTATGTGGTTCCTGGAGTCATGGGATCTGTACAGAGAGAACAGTGGTTGCCAGGGGCTGGGAGGGGGCAGGAACCGGGAGTTAGTGTCTAATGGGACAGAGTTTCAGTTTGGGGAGATGACAGTGCTTTGGAGGTGGGCGGTGGTGATGGTGGCAGGACAGTGCGAAGGTACCCGAAGGTCGTAGCAAGGTGCCCTAAAAGTGGTTAACACGGTACCTTTTCTGTTGCGTGTATTTTGCCACCGTTTAAAAAAAAATACAAACAGGACTGGTCTGAAAGTGAGGTTCGCCTGAGGGGGGAGCCTGCCACAGGAAAGCACGTGAGTCGGGCGTGAGGAGGGAGGGAGGAGTCTGAATTCACACACGCAGAGCCACACAACCGCAGAAGTGGGAGTACCTTGTCCCCTCCGCCGATCCGGCCGCTGGACCCCGGGCTGCCTGCGTCCCCACCCCCCACCCCGCCCACCCAGCCCAGTCCTCCCATCAGCAACGACGACGGGTAAGGTCACGCCTCTCCCTTCTCTCTTGGCAGCCTGGAAGGGGTTTCCCACGGACTGTCAAGGCCCGACTTCTAGTCCCTTCCCCTCTCTTGGCCTGTTTCCCTGGCCAAAGCGGGCAGAGACCCCCAGAGTTCCTTCTGGGCCGATGTTCCCCGCCGGGTGAAGCTCCCCCCTGTCATCTCTGAGTTCACGAGTTTATTGACCTTGCTTTTATGGTTGCTTCCTGTTTTTGTCCCGCTTCCTCTCCTGTTCTGTCATCAGATGACGGATTTAGAAGCGAGGGGCTGCCTTCTGGCCCGTGGGCCCACGTGGGTAAGGCCTGAGCCATCTGCGCTGTGCTCTGAGCGGATGCAGAGAGAAAGGGATGGTCCCCTTCCTCTAGGGATTGCATCTGGGGTTCCTGATGAATCTCTCTTCTAACTTTCTTACTATAGGTCACACAGGTTTTGCTAGTTTATTCCTCTTTTACTGCTACTGTAAATGGTGTGCTTTTAAAATTTTGTTATTGTATGTTACTGATAGACATAAAAGCAACTTATTTTTTGGATCTTGATCTGATAGCTAGTTGCCTTGCTAAAGTCCCTTGTTGTTTTGAATCACTTGTCTGGTCATTCTTTTGGATTTTCTACCCAGGCAATCGTATCATATGGAAATACTGAGAGTTTATCTAGGACCTCTGGAGCAATGGTAAAAATAGCAAAGATAGTGGGCATCCTCATCTGGTTCCTGCTTTTATAGGAAATGCTCCTAAGATTTACTCATTAAATATAATATATGCATAAGCTTTTTGTAAATTCTCTTTACCAGTTTAAAGAAGTTTCCTTGGGGCGCCTGGGTGGTTCAGATGGTTAAGCGTCTGCCTTCGGCTCAGGTCATGATCCCGGGGTCCTGGGATCGAGCCCGCGTCGGGCTCCTGGCTCAGCGGAGAGCCTGCTTCTCCTTCTCCCTCTGCCTCTCCCCCTGCTCATGCTCTCTCTCTCTCTATCTCTGTGACTCAAATGAATTAATAATAATAAAAAAATCTTTAAAAATAAGAAAAATTAAAAAATAAAGAAGTTTCCTTCTAGGGGCGCCTGGCGGGCTCAGTCAGTGGAGCATGAGACTCTTGATCTCGGGGTTCTGAGTTCGAGCCCCATGTTGGGTGTAGAGATGACTTAAAAATAAAATCTTAAAAAAAAGGTTTCCTTCCAATCTGCTAAGATCTTTTTCATGAAACGATATTGAATGTTCTCTCTCTCTCTTTTTTTTTTTTTTCTGGATGATCCTATGTTTTTCTTCTTAAATCTGTTAATGTAAGTTTTTAGTTTGAGCTCCTCTAAAGGCAGAGCCTGAAACAAGGACTTGGGTTCAGGTAGGTTATTTAAGAGGTGATTCCAGAAAGCTGGGAGTGAAAGAGCAAGGGGATCTGAGAGGGGAAGGAAGAAAAGCCAATTAAAGGTGCCTTGACTGAGGTCATGGATGCAGGCAAAGAAGGCTTGACTCTCTGCAACCTTGGAGAATCCTGCTAGGTGCCTCCCACAGTTGCCCAAGGAGAAGGAAGAGGCTGGAGCTCACATCCCACAGCTCCTGTCCTTTACTGGTTGAGGGCTGCATCTTAGGGAACTTCTCTCCCACTTTTGGGAAACACTTAGGCTGATAAGTGGCTCCCAAAGCATTGAAGAAGACCCTGAGGCAAGAAGCAAAAAGAAACATGGTATAAAGTTGAGGTGGGACACTGCAGGGTAAGGTAAGTCTAAGCTTGCATGAAATTATCTGCATTAAGTTCTGCTGATATCAGAGAAGGGCAGAAGTGATGTGACAGAGCACCAAAGTTTTCTGTTACCAACATAATAAATGATATCTGTAGGTTCTCTTCTATTGTTTTTTTTTTTTAAGATTTTATTTATTTATCTGAGACAGAGAGAATGAGAGAGACAGAGAGCACATGAGAGGGGGGAGGGTCAGAGGGAGCAGGGAGCCCGATGCTGGACTCGATTCCGGGACTCCAGGATCATGACCTGAGCCGAAGGCAGTCGCTTAACCAACTGAGCCACCCAGGTGCCCGGTTCTCTTCTATTGTTAAACAACTTTTGCATACCCAAGATAAGGTCAATTTGGATGTGATATATATATATTTACACACTGCTAGATTTGGTTGGCTAGCATTTTTCGTATAATTGTTGCATCTATATTCATGAGTGAGTTTGGCCTCTAATCTTTCTTTCTAATCCTGTACTGGTCTCATTTTGATGTTAAGGCTAAGGTTACCCTGGCCTCATAGAAAGAGTTAGTGTTCCTGCTTTTTCCATTCTCAGGGAGAGTTTTCATAAAATTAGAACCATCTCTACTTAAACTTGCATAACACTATCTGGACCAGGTATTATCTTTGTAGGAAGATTTTAAATTATGGATTCAGTTTCTTTAATAGTTATAGAACGATTTCGGGCTTTTTATTTCTTCTCAAGTGAAGTTTGGTAAGTTATATTTTTCTAAGATTTGGCCTGCTTTGTTTCTTTTTTTTCTTTTTTTTTTTTTTTTGCATAAGTCATTTATAGCCTTTTAAAATTTTTAATTGTGGTAAAAAACACATACCATAAAATTTACCATCTTAACCATTTTCAGTGTAGAATTGGTTGTGTTAAGTGTATTCACGTTGTTTGGCAGCTAATCCCCAGAGCGTTTTCATCTTGCAAAACTGAAACTATGCCGATGAAGCAGTTCACTTCCCCTCCCCCAATCACTGGCAACCATGGCGACCTTCTGTTTCTATAAATTTGTACTGTCTTCATTGTAATCCTGTAGCTATGTTCCCATTTTCATTCCTAATACTGGTGACTTGTACCTTCTTTTGTTTATAAGTAGATTTCACCAGAGATTTGCGTATACTATTAGTTTCTCCAAAGAACTTTTGGTTTTATTAATCCTGTCTACCACATCTTTGTTTTCTATTTTGTTGGGTTTTGCTCTTTATTATTCCATTTTGCGTTTACTTTGTTGTTCTCTTTACTTTGATTTCTGCTCTGATCTTTACTCCCTTTTGAGTCACTTTCGGGTTTTCTTTGCTGTTCTTTTTCTAACTTCTTAACTACATACTAAGATTGAGTACTTACTTCTGACTTTTTTTCTAATACAAGCATTCAAGCCTATCCATTTCCTTTGAAGTGCCACTTTTGATGTATTCCAGACATTTTAATATAAGTATCACTCAATGCGAAGATTTTTAAAACATGTCATTACAATTTCTTCTCTGACCCATGTGTCAGAGGACGTTTTCACATTACCGAGTATATGGGGCTGTAAAGCCTATCTTTTTTTTTTTTTTTAAGATTTTATTTATTTATTTATTTATTTATTTATTTATTTATTTATTTATTTAAGAGAGACAGAGATAGCGAGAGAGAGCACCGGTGGGGAGGAGAGGGAGAAGCAGCCTCCCCACCAAGTGAGGAGCTCGATGAAGGACTCGATCCTAGGACCCTGGGATCATGACCTGAGCCCAAGGCAGATGCTTAACCTACTGTGCCACCCAGGCTCCCTAAAGCCTATCTTTTTGAAGAGTTTGTGTTCTCTAATTTAGAGGTGCAGATCGAGCTTTTAAATTATGTGTTTCATCTCATCCATTCATTTACACTCTTGTTTGGTGGCTTCATTATTCCTAATTGAGAGACATGTATTATAATTCCTTGCTATAATGATGGTTTTATCTCTTTGTGGTTCTTTCAAGGCAGATGCTTACAAATTTAGAAGAATTATAACTTTCTGGTGATCTGTCCCTTTAGTCCAGGCATTCATGCTATCCCTCATAATATTTTTGTCTTAGAAGTTCTCTTTCTCTGATATGAACAGAACTTTCCCAGCTTTCTTTTGGTTAGTGTTTGCCAGGTATATTCTTTCCCATCTTTTGACTTTCAACCATTCCATACTCTTATGCTTTAGGTTTGTCTCATAAATACCAGAGAACTGGGTTTTGTGGGTTTAAGATTTTATTTATTTGTTTGAGAGAGAGAGAGAGCACAAGCAGGGGGAGGGGGAGAGGGAGAGGGAGAAGCAGACTCCCTGCTGAGCAGGGAGCCCAATGCAGGACTCGATCCCAGGACTCTGGGATCATGACCTGAGCCGAAGGCAGACAGATGCTCAACAGACTGAGCCACCCAGGCACCCTGGGTTTTGTGTTTTCATGTTTTAAAAATCCAATCTGAGATGAGAATTTAGGAATGACTGAGTCCACAACTCCCACTATACTCTACTGAGTAAGAGTTGAGTTTAAAAACCTGCATTTTCAACAAGTTGACAAGAACCCTAATCCAGAAGTTTCTCTTTTGAGGTTGTGTGTTTGAGCTACTTATAGAAATAGACTTTATTTTTTTAGAGTAGTTTCATCTTCATAACAAAACATAAAATGGCCCCCACGCATGCACAGCCTCCCCTGTTGTCAACACCCCCCACCAGAGTGGTCCACCTGTTATGTTCAGTGATGCTACCCAGGCACATCCTTAGCACCCAAAGTCCACAGTTACATTAGTGTTCACTCTCGGTGTTGTACATTCTATGCCCTAAAAATCCTCTGTTCTCTGCCTATTCACCCTTCCCTCTGCCCCAACCCCTGGCAACCACTGATCTTGCCTAAGTTCTCATTTCACTCTATCACTTAATAGCTCCATGACCTGGGTACATGATTAATTCACCTAAGCCCCGCTTCCTCAAATGCATAATTAGAATGCAGAATGGTTCCTTATTTTTGTGGTTCCTTATTTTTGTATGAAAATTAAATAAAACAATGTATTAAAACCTCCCTTCAGTCCCTAACAGAGAATACACATCAACAAAATGTTAGTTTCCCATTCCTTCCCCCCACCCCCTTCTCTTAATAATCGGAAATCAAGTTTTGCTGAGAAAAGGCAAAGGGATGTTCCCTTGTGACAGGGTGTATCACCAGAAATCTAAGCAGGGGAGGACACAAGAGGTTACTGCCTCCCAAACCCTCTCTCTCCAACTTGGAAAGTCCCTCCCTTTCTGCTTCCTCTCAGGAGGGTTCCCATCCATACATTATCTGTCTTCTCCATCCAACACCTCTGACCTACATCTGACAAACACACAGGTGTGTGTTTTAGTTTTGAACTTTTTAAGACTTCTCAAATTAAATATTATAAATATTACATACTTATCTTCCATATTTGTTTGCTGTTTTGTTTTCTCATGCTTCCTTCTTGCATAGAAAACTCTCCTGCAATCATTTTTTCTTCTGGACGCACATCTTTAAAAATTCCTTTAGTGGAGGTCTCTTGGGGGTAAACTCTCTCAGTCTCTGTTTATCTGTCTTTCTCTCACTTTGGTTCTTGAAAGACGGTTTTGTTGGGAACATGAGAGAAGTCACTGGATTAAGACCCAGTCATGACAAAACCCTTCCCCAGCCCTGTGAAGACATGAGTTCACTCCCCAAACCGACACACCAATCTCCATTCCCCTCAAATCCTCTTGTATCTTCCAGAGCAGAGCATCTTAACTCTTCCAGCTTTATTGTCCCCTTCACTGGAGAACTCAGAGACCTAAAGAACAAGGCAGGGAGTATTTGGTGGTAGAACAGCGCTCTAAGAAGGAGCACCTGAATTTCTTCTCTCATCTACATGATGGTCGGGTTCCTCTCATCCCTGGGCAGCTTCTTGGTGACAGGAAGCGTTGGTCTTCCCTCTTTGTTTGGAAGCATCCATCCGGCCTTCTAGGGTCTGATCATCAGGCCCCCGAATCCACATCATTCTCTCTCCCGGAAGGCCTTGCAGCCTCATGCCAAGTCAGCACCCCCGCCCCCCACACCGCCTTCCCATTCTGCCCCAAAAGTTCTGTGGGGCAGAACGGGGCTGCAAGTAACTCCCGGTTCACAAGGACCCTGACTCCCATGGGCAGGTTTGAAGGGCCAGAACCTTCCAGCCTGGAAAGCACAGAGTCATCACCAGCCCCTCCACCCAGACGCCACCCCGTAGCCAGCACGCAACCTGGGACAATTCCGGGTCCCCTTCCCTCCACCACTGAGTCCAGTTCCTCTCTATCAGCTTCTGCACTTGCCGGGGGCGTAAGTGCGGATAGCTGCTGGTTCATGGGTGCCCGCTGTTAGGATCAGGAAGAGAAGGGCTTGTTCCTACTAGTTCTGGTTCAGAGAGTCCCAGGAAAACCGCTGTCCAGGCTTCACTCTGAGGGCCCATCTTTGGGGGGTGAGGGGCCCTGATTGGCTTTGTTAGGTGTTCAGCCAAGCTCCGTGGCCTGGGGATCAGCAGAGACATCAGCAGGAGAAAGGTACACTGGACAGGCCCAAAAAGAAAGACCCCATGCAATCTTATCTGGGTGGTACACCAAAACAAACTACTTCTTCTCTTCATTTACTCAACCATTCCTCCATCCCTCCATCCATCCTCTTACTGAACAGTTACTCAGCATCAACAGTTCGCCGGGTAGTACCTACCATACCCGTGGCAGAACAGTAAGCAGTTCTAGAATCAGCTTCTGCCCTGCTGGACAGGCCAGTGGGGAGGGAGGGGAAGTTGATGTGTAAGCTATCAGATCCACAGCCACATTCCCATGCCTGGAGATCAGAGAGGAAGTGGTGGGTGGGAACAGGGGCTGAGGGCTTACAGCAGGACCTTGGCCCCCAGAAGCTTCACTTGAACACTGGTGGGGATGGAGTCAGGCTGGCCCAGCTGTGTGTGCAGCTGGGATTCACAGGCACAGACCCATCCAGAAGATGTTTGGAGAGCTCCCTGGGCATGAGGCGCACACACACACGCACACACACCACAACCACTACCCCCGCCTAGCCCCTTATGGCAAGGAAGGCCCCAGCAATTTCCTTTGGCCTTCTGCTGTCTTGCATTTCTCTCGCAAGGGTCTCCTGGGCATGTAGCTTCTAAGAATCCTTCTCTTGCCCCTGCTCTGTGGGCTTCCTCTCACTCATAAAGACTTCACTCTCTCCTAGGGATGTGACCTTGGCAAGTCAATCACTCTGTGCCTCGGTTTCCACATTGGTAAGATGGGGACAGTGAAAGTACCTACCTCACAGGGGTAGAGCGCTTCTGACAGTGCTGAGCTGTAGTCAGTTCACTATTGCATCATTTTTGTTATGATTTTTGCTGTTATCGCTCTCAGCATCATTATTATTCTGACCCAGTAGAGACCACAGGGTCTCCAGCACAGCAGTGCCCGCTGTCGGAGCCCCAGGGCCGCACCCTCAGCCTCTCCGTGGGCTGGACGAGTGTTCCCTGCAGCGCCACATGGACCAGATCCTGGGCTGGGGTTACAGCTCGTGCTTTCCTCCATCTTCTGTCTACATCACTCCAAAGCAGTGCCATCCAGGGACGTCCCTGGCTCCAGGCTGACCAGCAGCCCTTGCCCACCGCACACGGTGGTGACAGCTTTTGGCTTCAGTAGCCAAAGAGAAGGGGACAACTTCATTCCACCCTCATAACCCAGAACCGAGTTAGGCCTGAGCCCTGAAAATGCCGGGGCACCCCTTGTTAAAGCAAGGAGACCCACTCCTCTCCTGCCTCTCCCAGGCCCTGCTGCCCCCAGGGACTCCTGCTTCTGAGGATTCCCTCAGTAGGTGACAAAGCCTTTCTAGAAACTCACTGCAACGCCTCAGGCCCTGAGCCCCCCTCCCCAGACCAGGGCTCCCTGCCCAGAATGGTTGGGAGGAGACACCATAAGCCAGGCCCTAGAAATGGAGGCTGGGGGTTTGGGCTACAGCCAGACTGAGCCCCATTACTCTGTGCCTGGGCTGCTGGGCACTCTTGTGGGAGCTCTTCCCTCAAGTTGTCCCTATCAGCTGAGTCCGGGCAGGGTGAGGTTGCAAGCCGGGTGCGTGTTGAGCTTTCAAAAGCCGTGCCAAGGTGGGGGGTGTCCATCTGAGCACTTCCACTGCCTGCCCGGGTCTGCTTAGAGAAGGCCAGCTCCCGGCCTGCTTTGCGAAAGAGACAGCCTGTCCTGGACAGACCTGACTTCGGATATTCTCTTCCCAGGAGGGAACTCGATAATGTGTCCTGTGGGATTGGGGGTTCTCAGGTCTGGGGCTTGTAGGCATCATGGTCCTTTGCGCACACACAGTGCCCTGAACCCCATGTGGAGGCACATCACTCACATGTGTACCCGCCGCTTGCACTGACCCCCAGAACAGTGACATGGCAGGAGGCCAGGTCATACCCCGGCTTATCGGCTACCTCCCAGCTTCCTCTGCCTGCGTTCCTGCAGGCCTGGAGCTCTGAGAGCTGGCCTTCCACGTGGCTTCCAGAAGACCTCTCAGATAATGAGAGGAAATGTGGTCATCAGCTCATAGAAGACTGGGGTTCCGGGCTACAGCTCTAGGCCACCACTCCCTGACCTGGGTCCACCATCTCCCTCCAGGAGGCCCTCAGCTGTTCCCAGTGAGCCTGTGGATGCCACTCGAGATGTCCCCTTTTGGCTGCTGGGGCCTGCCTGCCGCCCTTCTTGCCCTGTTCTGCTGCCCAGGTGAGCTGGTACCTGGGGATCTTGACTTGGCATGTGCCAGGCCAGAGGGGGGGCTGCCTGTCCCCCTGGCTTCAGGCGTGGGAGGCGGGGCTGGTCCTGAAGTCACTGAGGCTTTGAACACAGGGGCAGCCCACCCTGGGCGCTGGATGCTCTACCAGCCTGGCTCCCCCATGATCCTGGATGGGGGGGTGGGGAAGCTGGTCTTTTGGAAAGCAGGTTGAACAGGCTCCACGGCTGCATGGCCTGTGGAAGTGGCAGGTTGTGGAAGCTGAATGGTGGGCTGCGTGGGGGCCTGAGGCAGGAGGGGATGCTGGGGTTCGAGGGAAGGTGAGGGAATACCCCAGCTGTTCTTCAGATGCGGTCCAGGGACAGCAGGGGGCAGCAGAGGACATGGCCTTTTCACGACCCCAGGGAGTCCGGGGACTGTGAAGGGAAATGCTACCATGTGCTCAGCACTCTGTTTTGGACAACCTGGCAGGTGCTTTTCAAGGGCTAGCTCACCACAACCCTGCAGGAAAGGGATTACTAGTCCGTTTGACAGGTGAAGAAACAGGTTCAGAGAGAGAAATCACCTTGCCCGGGGTCACACAGCTGGTACATGGCAAACTCAGGATTCAAATCCAGCTCTGTCTACCTGCAAAGCTCCTTTCTTGCCACTTCATTATATGCCACTCACTGAGCGCTGAGTGGGGACTTGCTGGTGTGGGGGAAGCACAGGATAGGCCCCGCTGGTTGAGATCAAGGACCTTCTGAGTGGGAGCTGAGCTCTGAGGACTCAATCTTGAGGCATCAAATACTTCTGGATGTCTGTCACACACAGGGCATTGTGCTAAGCACTGAGGGAAACCTATAAAATCTCAGCCCTGCCTTCTAGAAGCTCTAAAACATCTAAGGGAGAGTTGGCATGGATATCAATCATTTGCAAGGTGGTCCCATTATCTTCCTGAACTCCTCTCCCCCTGCCTTCCTCCTCACTGAGCTCTAGCTGTCCTGATCTTGCCATTCCTCAAGCACACCATGCATGCCCTTGACCCAGGGTCTGAAGGCTGGGAACACTCCCCGCTCGCCAGATATCTCCAGGGCTCACACCCACCTCTTTTCGTGTCTGTGCTCAAATGTCAATGCCTTGGTGAGGCCCGTGCTGACCACCGTATTAAAATGGCAACTCCACCTCATTCCTGTTTCCTGTCCCAGGCACTGATCACCGTCGGACAGGGCTGGATATTTCACTTGTTGATTATTGTCTCTCCCCTTCATGACAAAGGGAGCTCTGCAAGGGCAGGGTTTGGTCTGCTTTGGTCACTGCTGTGTTGTCAGAGCCTAGAACAGGGCCCAGCACACAATAGGTATTTACAAAGTATTTGCAGAAGAAAGGAAAGGAGGGAGGAAAAGGTTGAACCTAGGGCCACAGGGACCCAGAGCACCCAGTCCACCTCCGTCTCTGAGAGGCCTTCATGGAGGAGGGGACATTTGAGCTGGGCTTTGAAGGTCACATAGGATCCCTCTACATGGAGATGGAAGACGTGCACGGAGGAGACTCATCTGAAGGTGGTGGGCTGGAGGAAGAGCTGTGGGGTCGCCTCCGCGGTCTGGACACAGGGCGATACATAAGGCCTGACCAAGGGGACAGTAGCAGACGGGCCATCTCTGGCCTATCTTCTTGGGTACCTGCCCCGCGATCAGACTGCCGGCGGTGGGCGGGCCCACTGGGCAAGGGCAGCAGACATGTTTGCTGCCCAGTCTTTCTGGTCTTCCAGGGTCTGGTGAGGGGTTCGAGGTGCACATGTATCCGGAGCAGCTTGTGGTGGAGCCTGGAGGGTCAAAGTTGATCAACTGTAGTACCAGCTGCGCCCAGCCGCAGACCGGTGGCCTGGAGACCGCCCTAACCAAGACCCTGCTGGAGTCGGGAGCTCAGTGGAAGCAGTACTTGGTCTCCAACATCTCCCAGGACACAGTCATCCACTGCTACTTCACCTGCTTCGGGAATCAGAAGTTAAAGAGTCTCAACATCAGCGTGTTCTGTGAGTGCCACCCTGCGGGGCCCTCTTCCCCAGGGCCGAGCCCATGTCTCCTGACTGTTTGCAGAGCAACTCTGGTACTGCTCCTGGGCATTCGCTTTGGCCCCCACCTCCCTGGGCTCCTGGGGGGGCAGGGAGCAGGACCCCAGCCATGGGCTCAGAGTCTGCTCACACCTTTCACTGGACTCCATGAGCCTGCTGGCCACGCCGCCTCCGAGGCTTGCTCAGAGGACAGTCCAAGCAAGGTTTGCACAAACTGACAAGTCATTTCCCCGGCAGTGCTCACAGCCTCCTACCTGCTCAGGAGCAGCCCATCACCGGACACCCCCCACCCCACCACAAATAGCGGGGCGCCAACAGAAGGGCCACCGTGCTCTCCGGTCGCCCCTTCACCTCACGGAGAGAAGGTTAAGGCATGACCTGGTGCTTTTATATTCCTTTTTTTTTTTTTTAAGATTTATTTATTTGAGAGGGCTGGGGAGGGAAGGAGGGGAGAGGGAGAGAGAACACGAGCAGACTCGGGGCTGAGCGCGGAGCCGGACACAGGGCTTGATCTCACAGGCCTGAGATCACGACCTGAGCAGAAACTGAGAGTTGGGTGCTTAACCGACTGAGCCACCCATGTGCCCCTGCTTTTATATTCCTGAGGGCCCCTGGCAAATGTGTGACCATCACCCATACACACCTGTGCACGGGCCATGGAGACCTCCCCATAGGGCAGGATTCTCTCAACGTCTCGGCACCAAGGGTATGGCTTGGGTCCTCCCCATGACCAGCATCAGTGGATCAAGTGAATAGAAAGATGTTCTAAATCCAACATATTACCTTGGGGTGATGGGGGCAAGGTATTCTAGCTCGAAAGGGAATCCATGATACCTCTGAGGACCCCGTTTAATAGATAAGGGATGGCATGTCTAACTAAGCAAGGCAGGTCTGACTCCAGCCCCCGCCCCTTAAGTGGGGACCCCACAACTCTTGGCCCAGTTCCAGTGAGCACCCCCTTCTTAGTCTCAATATAATTATCCAGCTGTTTAATATGGAAATTTGTGTTTGATTTCTGGAGAAGGAGACAGATCCATTTTTTTTTTGTTTCTGGTTGGCTGTACAATTTCTAGACCTCCTCTTTGTAGACCCCTGGCCACCTCCATTCTTGTCAAGTCCAGAAAACGTCATGTTGATAAAACTCCCGGCCAATCCATCCTTCACCCTGAACTACTTCCTCTGTCCTCTCCCTATGCTCTAGAGCAGGCCAGGCCCCAGCCCGCTTCCTCCCCACGTCCAGCCGAGGCCCTGAGAACACTGCGGCGCCAGGGGATGGGCCAGGCTGGAGGGTGGGGGTGCTGCTGGGACTGCACCCCCATCCTGACCAGCCCTCCCCTCTCCTTCCCTGCAGACCCTCCAAAGCAAGTGCTGCTGAAGCTGCAGCCCGCGTGGGTGGCTGTGGGGAGATCCTTCACCGTCGAGTGCCACGTGCCGGCTGTGAAACCCCTCGAGAGCCTCACTCTCACCCTGCTCCGTGGCCAGGAGGCCCTGTGCAACAAGACCTTTGCGAGGGGAGACAGTGGCACCCGAGGGGCCACGGCCACACACAACAGCACGGCTCACAGGGAAGACGGCCACCACAACTTCTCGTGCCACGCCCGCCTAGATCTGCGGTCTCTCGGCGGCGGCATCGTTCACCGTGTCTCCGAGCCCCAGATGCTCAAGGTCTATGGTGAGGGGCGCCCCCCAGATGGGAGGGGTGGGAGAGGGCATTCGCTTTCAATTCCTTAGGGGAAGAAAGAGCCCTCAGCACGCCCTCCGCCAGCCCAGGGGGCAGGCACCCAGGGACCCCACGCTGAATCCCGGGGCTTCCCTCTTGCTCTTCGGGACCTTGACCAAGTCACCCCCCCTCTCTGGCCACGGCCCCTCTCTACGTTCAGAGGCTGGGCCCAGAGGTCCCCTGGAGCTCTGCTGTTCTGTGACTTTTTTTTTTTTAAAGATTTTATTTATTTATTTGAGACAGAGAGAATGAGAGAGACAGAGAGCACATGAGAGGGGGGAGGGCCAGAGGGAGAAGCAGACTCCCTGCCGAGCAGGGAGCCTGATGCGGGACTCGATCCAGGGACTCCAGGATCATGACCTGAGCCGAAGGCAGTCGCCCAACCAACTGAGCCACCCAGGCGCCCTGTTCTGTGACTCTTGATGGCCAAGGTGTTCCCTGTCTTCAGAGAGTTTGGTAGAAGCTCACTCCGCTCTGCCCAGGGCGGGGCTGGGCTGGGACCATGCCGCGGTCCAGGCCACGGTGGCCAGCATACATACGCTGCTGCCAAGGGCCGGTGGCCTGGACCCTGGCCTACCTTTCCCTGAGATCCTACACCATTCGCCCTTCATCTCTGCAGCTCACGTGGCTGCAAGATGGATGAGGCGTGGGCGGGTGACAGGCGGACCCCTCCCCCGTGGGCCCTGGCCTCGAGCACCGGAGGACTTCTGAGACCACTGCCCCCTCTTCCCTCCCCAGAGCCCAGGCCAGACAACCAGATGGTCGTCATCATCTCTGTCGTGTCGGTGCTGCTGTTCTTGTTTGTGACATCCATCCTCCTGTGCTTTGTCTTGGGCCAACACTGGCGCCAGAGGCGGATGGGCGCTTACGGGGTACAGGATGCTTAAGCAGGGCCGAAGTCGGGCCGACTGGGCACAGCCTACATGAGTGGCACGGCCACCAGCGCCGCAGCCCCTGGAACTCAGCACGACTCCTCGGGATCGTGGTCCAGCCCTGACTACAGGACTGTAACAAGCAGCCGAGGACATCGGGGTCATTTCCTTTTCTAGTCTGCATATAAACATCTGGACTTAACCCTGTGCCTCCATGTCTTCTCCTGGGATAGAACTCCACGGCCAGGAAAGGCACCCACCAGGCCTGGACTTCTCCCCAGAGGTCTCCTAAGCCTCCCTCCCCCCTCGCCTTCACAGGGGCCTTCCAGAGCCCCAGCCAGCCCAGGCCCTGGGGCATCCCCATGCTGACCAGCCCAGGCCCTGGGGCGCCCCCATGCTGACCAGCCCAGGCACCAGACACCCTTCGTCGTGGAGCCCTGAGTGACTAATTTCTCCCGAGGGACAGGGACGTGGGGGAGACACGCCCTGGCCCAGGAGGGCAGAGAGACGTTCTGTTCCTACTTGGCGCTCGGGGACCTGAGGCCACTCCCAAGCAGGACATGGCTCTGACTTCTTTCTGCCAAAAGAGCCAGCTTCCTGGGGCAAGGGTGGGGTCCAAGGGAACTGGCTCAGCTCCAGGACCCTCTGAGCCAGGCCTCTCTCCCATCACTCTAGGCCTTCAGAGCCTTGGACAACAAAAGCAGTCCTCCCCTTACCTCCTGCTCTGTCATTAGGCCACCAAGGCCCCACAGCCCTGGCCCTCCTACATAGGGGTGAGTGGAGGAGGTCGAGCGAGGGAGGGCTCTGGTTCCCAGACCCCCAGACCCCCCCACCAATGGCTTCCCAGCCCTAGATGATGCTTGGAGGGGTCTGTGCTCCAGGGCAGAGATGAGGCCAGTCCAAGGTCTCCATGTGGTGAAGAAGGTTTTGATTCACCCAGGAGAGGGCCTGGCTGTGGTTGAGGGAGTGGGGGAGGGCTGCCAGGCATGGCTGCAGAGTCGTAGACACTAGAGGGGCACCTAGGGGCTCCAGGGCTCTTTCCAGCTCTGCGGTGAAGCTGGCAGGGTCCCAGGGCCGATGTCTGTCCTCACAGGAGGCTCTCGGCATCATAGTAGTCTGGGGAGAGACAGTACCTGTATCTTGGCTCCGGACAGGCCAGTTGCCTGTAGCAGTGATGACAGGTGCTCCCCCACCCCCAACATGGCCCTCCTGGCCTCCTGACACATCCCTGGGCCCCACTGCCCCCCTACCCTGCCCCTACCTGAAGCCGGGGGTACATCCGCACCCACAGTGCCTGTGGCACTGGGGGGTGGGGGTGGGGGCACGGTTATGGTTCTTCTGATAGAGAGAAAAGAAAGACCCCCGCATCAGAAGTGGTCTCTGGGGTCTCACCCAGAAGTATCTCCACCCCACCCCCCGCCCCCCAGCTCCTGGTGAGCTCTGCCAGCCCAGCCCCAGAGCAGGACTCTGGCAATGCCCAGATCCCCCAGCCTCACTTACCCCCTCCTTTTCCCAGAGGCAGGAGGGCAGTGCTGAATCCTGGATGTGTCCTGCAAGTGAGGCTGATGTGGGGGCAGGGAAAGGAAAGGGACTGGCCAGGGTAGCGAGGGGCCCAGCACGGGCATTGGGCAGGGCAGGTAGTGGTGATGAAACACCAAAGGCCCTTCCTCCTGGGCTTGCATCTCCTCCTCCTCCTCCTCCTCCTCCTCCTCCTCCTGTGGACCCTCCAGGTAGACCTGGGGATTGTGGGAAAGGGGGAGGAGGGATGATGATATGGGACCCAACGTCCCTACCCCCACTTCTCTGTTCCTCTAATTTCTCCAGAGGAACATCATAAATTGGCTTCCCTTTATCGAGCAGCTAGGTACTTTGGAGACGTCTATTCCTTATTTTGCAAGAGGAAAAACGGAGGCTCAAAGAGGTTGGGCAACTTGTCTAAGGTCACCCAGGTAATAAGTGGCTGAGCAGGGACTGGAAGAATCCAGGTAGGACTCCAGAGCGGGGTTAGGAGTCCGGTGACCTGCGTCTGGCCTCGCCCCCAGCCCCTGGACCCACCTGTGCCCCCATCAGGGAGGTGGGGTGCTCATCCCAAGGGCCCCCCTGAGGGCCAGGGTGTGAGGAGTGGTGGCAGCCCCTGCCAGCCTGGATGGTGGACACAACCTGGCCGCCTCCGAGCGGCAAAATCCTACCTGGCTTCCGAGGGCTGGTTCTAAGGTCACCTGCTCCTCCAAGGAGACTTTCCTCATTCCCCAGTGAGTGGCGCTCATGCCTTGCCCCCCTCCCCGTGCCAGTTGGGACGAAGTCGCCTTGTATTCATAGGCATTGATCTATTTTTTCACTCGTTCAACAAATTTCATTTGAGCCCCTAATAAGTATCGGGCACCCTGCAGACTCCAGGTACCGTGGCGCCTGTCCTCCTGGGCCTGCAGTCTAGTAGGGGGTGCACTGCAGGGAGAACTCCTTGAAAACAAGACCTGAGTGCTCTGGGGACTCCCACCCATGGAGGCTGCTGACTTGGGAGCCTGGCACATAATAGATGCCAAAGGGACCCAGCCGGGCGGCTGCACTGTTGCCTGGTTCGTTTTCTCCAGGATGCACCCCAGATGGATCCCCGCCCTTGGACCTGCAGGCCGGCGGCCCTGGTGGCACACCTCCACCCCCCCCCCCCCCCAGCTGACGCACCTGCGGGTGGCAAGAGGCTGGCCCCGGGGGGAGCGCGGCTGCCACCAGGCGACTCAGCAGCAGCTGGTGCGTCTGCGCGTTCTGCAGCAACATCAGTTCCAGCAGGTCTAGGGCGGGGGAGTTCAGCAGGCCCACGCCAGGCCTCCCACTGCCCGCCGCTCCACCCCCACCGGCCCCCCCCAAGGCCAGCCCAGGACCGCGCGGAAGGGAGGTGCAGCGAGGACGCCCAGACAATGTGCGAAGCAGAGTGGGGTACAAGGCGGGTGAGCCCCGAGTCTCACCTTCCTTCACTCGGCCGGGCTGCGGGGGCGGCGGTGGGACGGCCCATGTGACAGGCTGCAGGACGGTCACCCAGGGCTGGGGGGAGCGGGAGACTCAGGCGAGGCGGACAAGGGATCCGGACCGACCTCTCCCCAACACCCCCCACCCCACCCCGTGCACCCAGCGAGTGACCTCCCTCACCCCGCTGGGGCCTCGTTCTCCTCCCCGCCCGCCCCGGTTCCCCAAGTCTCCTCCTCTGCGGCTGGGGTCGCTCTCTGCTCCCACCCCACTTCCTCCAGGGGTCGGCCCCTCCACGGACGGCTCCCCAATCGGCCAAGCCCCCAGGCCTCGCCGGTAGAATCCGGCTTAGCCCTCACCGTCCCGGCTGCACTCAGCGGTGGGGGCTGACCCCAGCTCCCTCCAGGGCCCGAGGCCATGAGGGCTCCAGCGGGTCACGGTTACCTAGGCGACGTGGGCGACGCCAAAGTCTCCTCCCACGCTTGCGCAGGTCCCTCCCCGCCTCCGGTGCTCGGGGCTTGCTCAGCTGCGAGGACTCCCTCCCCCCAGGAGGCGGGTCCCTCTGCCAGATGTCCACCTCCAGCTCCCAGGCCGGGCATCGGGTCTTGCTCCTCGCTGTACCTTCCACCCTTGCGCACCTCCGGGACCAAGCCCGGGGGCGGGGGTGGGGGGCGGGAGGGGGGGAGCGGCTCATGTTTGTTGAGTGAATGAGTGAGGGGCTGGGGACACTTGGTTTTCAGGCCCCAGGCTTGACTAGGGTGATGAGTTAAGCAGGAAGAGAACATTCTGTAGGAGCGGACTTGGCGGGGAAAGGCAGGTGAGTGAGGAGGGCAGAAGGTATGTTCTCGGTCACTCTGAATCAGAGGGATGTCCTTTGGGCCAGGAGTGTTTTCTGGAGCAGACCAAGGACGGTTCACAGAAAAGTCTGGGCCCTGGCCAGAAACAGGTGGCTGGCCCCTTGACGCCCCCCTCATGGCCGTTGGCTCCCTCATTCCCGGCTGCCGCTTTGCAGAGGTGGAGAGGCCTGGGGCGATCAGCACCAGAGCCCACATTTTTGTCCCACAGCTGGGAAAAATCACCAAAGCAGGCATTCTTTTGATAGAAGTTATCAAGGTCTTCCTTGCATCAGAACAGGTGAGGGAAGAGATCTATTTCGGCAGCTGTGACCATCCTAAGATAGGCCCTGAGCAGCAGTCAAGGAAAATCCAGACAGGAAACTGGGATTAGCACCCATGAGTTGCCCTTCCCCCACCCTCTACTTCTGTTCAGCTCCTCTTCCTGGCAGTCCTGGTATCTAGAGCCACAAAGACCATTCCCACCTCTTTTGTGCCTTAGTCCCTGGGAGGGGCCTGTGGGCTGAGCATTAGCTGTGAGTCTTATAGCTTCAGTGACCATCAACCAGCTGACATCGGGCAATGTGGTGACAGTCCCTGGGGGGGGGGTGGGATGAGCACAGAGGTGCGTCTTTCCGTCTGCGCTCTCATTGCAGTAAGAGGGGCAAAACCAGGGGCACCTGGGTGGCTCAGTCATTAAGCGTCTGCCTCCGGCTCAGGTCATGATCCCAGGGTCCTGGGATTGAGCCCTGAGTCAGGCTCCCTGCTCAGCGGGAAGCCTGCTTCTCCCTCTCCCACTCCCCCTGCTTGTGTTCCTGCTCTCGCTGTGTCTCTCTCTGTCAAATAAATAAACAAAATCTTAAAAAAAAAAAAAAAAGAGGGGCGAAACCAGTCCTTGTGTTTACCATCACCCAAACCTTGACCAAGGAGGTGCCTGTGTGTGCAAGGCGCCCTTCTGAACACTGGAGACACAGTGGTGTATTCTTGCTGGTCCCAGCATTGTTGGGAAGTGAAAATGCACCCATGGGAAGAGAGCAAAAATACAAGGCTCCCTGTGGGGTGAGACCTAGAAGAAGGGGTCATAAAAAGGGATGAGTTGATCACTGAAGGATAGAGTTCTGAAGTGGAAGACCTTGGGATGGGGCCAGGCAGTGTGGGAGAAAAGGGGCAACACAGGCTGGGGACACAGCCCAAACAAAGGCATAGGGGCAGGCACCGACAGGGCCTGTAATGACCCAGTGGTCACATTGTCCAACTATAGTGGAGGGTCTGGGCTGAGAGAAGTTCTAACAGCCCAGGCAGGAACAGGTCAGACTTGCAGGCCCGGTCATGGAATTTAGGCTGTGCCATGTGGGTAATGGAGAGCTCTTGGTGAGTTCCGAGCAGGAGAGAAATAGGGGGGTGACGTGTGCACGGCCATGTTTTAGGAAGATAAATCTTGTTCCTTACATCTTTGTGTATGTCAACCAGAATTAGGAAGAACAAATGTCTGATGGGGATGTATCCTTCCAATGGTATACAGTTGGTTCCTGCACTCACCTACAGTGTCTCCAGTTGGGGACATTTTCTGGCCACAGGTGAGGCAGGCCAGAAGTCATCCCAGAAGCAACCCTGATGCATTTAAGGGACAGGAGTTGATGGTAGAGCCCGCTGGCCTCAGTGGGACAACTCTGGGAGAATCCTCCCCAGAGTCTCTCAACACTCCTATGTGTCCCAGTTATAACCTACTTACCAACCGAATACACACTTTACTGGCTCTTTTCTTTTCTCTGTCATTTCTCCACTCCTTCACAGTGAGTGCTTCCTGGGATCTCCTTCCAAATAAAATACTTGCTCCCAAATCCTTGTCTCAGGCTCTGCTTTTGGGGAAATCCAAACTAAACACCAGCCTCCCATTCTCTCCGTGTCTGCCCCCAGGCTGCTAAAAACTCCTGGAAAACACAATTCTAATAGCTCTATGATAAATTTGTGTTCGATGAAGTAAAATACTGAAACAGACCCTGAAGAAAATTCATCTGGGAGTATAATAGTCAATGGATTAACCTGAGGCAAAGCTGGAGGCAGGGAGGCCAGCAGGAGGCCGCCACCCTCCTCCTTCTAAAAGCTGCCCAGAGGGGTGCGCCTGGGGGGCTCAGTCGGTTAAGCAGTTAAGCGGTTAAGCATCTGCCTTCGGCTCAGGTCATGATCCCAGGGTCCTGGGATCCGTGGTGGGGGTGGGGGTGGCAGGGAGTGGGTTTCTCCTTCTCCCGCTGCCCCTCCCCCAGCTTGTGCACTCTCTCTCCCCCCCCTCAAATAAAGAAAATTAAAAAAAAAAAAAGTAAAAATAAATAAATAAAAGCAGCCCAGAGCAGGTTGGAGGCGGCTGTGGAAAACAGACAAGGATTGGTGATTACTTCACTACCTCCGATTTAAGACCGCACGTTGAGCCCACATGTGTTTTGGAAGACAGGGCCGAGGTAAAAACTGCCTGGCTTCTGTGTGCAAGCAGAGTTCCTTGTTGAAGGAAACTAAAGCATTTGCCCTTTGAAGAATGGAAAAACCGCACGCGCTTATCTGCCGGGGCTCTTTTGCTTATAGAAGATCTAACATTAGTCCCACAGTGGAGGAGGTGACTTTCCGGCCACTTGCCTGGCCCGCTATTATTTTCTGTGAGGCACTGAACACTCCACCTATTTCCTTTTCATGTTGTCTCCGTGAGGACTCTGGTTTTGCATCTTTGTTTTTTTGTTTTGTTTTGCTTTACCAGGTTTTTCGTTTGTTTCTGGGTGTCCCACAGTGATATACATTAAAAGTCCTCCCTGTTACCTCGGTAAATCTATTTCTGGGAATAAACTAAACACCGCAAAGGATTTCTCCTCAAGTGTGTTCATCCCAGTGTTATTTTTAAGGGTTGAAAATTGAACATACCCAGGGTCCTCTAATAAGGGAATGGTTGTGTAACTGAAGGCAAGTCACTCAAAGGAAGAGTGTGCAGTCATTAAAAAAAAACCCACAAAAAATGAGCTCCTTCCTCTCCTCCTCAGATGGGAATGGAGAGAAAAGAAAAGAACTCGGGTGGAAATTTCAGTGTTTCTTCTTGGTACAGATAGGAAGTGCTGAGCAGAGACAGATGACCCGACAGCAGGCCCTTTTCTTGGGCCCAGGTCCTAACGAGACACTAATTGGAAGGAGGTAGTTACATGACGGACTGGCTATGTTTGGAAGGCCTTGAAAATACCACAGTAAAGAAATTCCATTTTTCTGCTTGGAGGCTCTGACTGTGCTGTTTCTCCAAATCATGGTTCTCCTTGTGAGGTGTGTGTGTGGTTTTGCCTGACAGGACCCTGGTGGTACTCTGGGGACTTACAAAGGGTAGATGGCACCAGTGGGATGCACAGTGGTGGGGACTCAGTTTCAAGCCCCCCCCCACCACCACCACCAGAATAGAGCTGTGGTATGGAGCCCTGAGCCCCTCCCCTCCCCCACTCCCTGGAATCGGGGTGCCGCCAACCATGGGGGAGCACCTGCCGAAGCTCCCAGGAAGTCCCCCTGAGTGAATGGCTCAGGAAGGAAACTGAGGCCCAGGTGGGGGTGAGGAGCGGTGGGTAGTGGCCAGGACAAGGTACGACAAGGCCAGTTCCAGCGGGTCAGGGTGGGATTCTCTGAAAGGTGGTTCTATTCCGCAGAATTCTTGTGTCTGGGGGCAACGGAAACTCACCCTAAACTAAGGAAAAGGGATGCTTTTTGGTTCATGTGATGGGGGAGGACGGTGATGGGGCTTCTCTGTAGTCCCACTGACGCAGGGGTCAAGCAGGGCCTTCAGGTCCCTCTCTCATCCCCCCCACCTGTGAGTGGTATTCTCATTCCCTTGTCCTACAGACAGACGCTTCCACTTGGTGGGAGACACACCTCAGGCAGTTTCAGACTTACTTCAGTTACTCTACACAAACTCAGAGAATCTGAGGAGGGAGAGATTATCTTTCTTTTGTATGGATATAAATAAACCCCCAGGAAGGACTATGATTGACCCCACTTGCGCCACATATCCAGCTTTGGGACCAACCACTGTGGCCAAGAGCATTGGCCAGACCTGGGTGACATGGCCATTTCCATGGCCGAGGTGGGGGGGGGGGGGCGGGAATCAGCAGCCAGGCCAGAATGACATATTTGGGGTAGGGAAGGAGCAGTTTCCCCAAAGGAAGGAGGAATATTGGCATCAAGAGAGGGAGGCATTCCTTCCCCTTGGGCTGTGGGAAAAGGTCATATTTCCCATACAGCTTTGGTTTTCCAATCAGCCTTATTCCTAATCCCAATGACACCTTGTGCAAATTAGAAAAATTAGCCCTGTCCTCTAGACAGTTTGCTACCATCTGCTACACAATTATCATCTCAAAGACACGAATCTATAATGATTACAAAGGTGATGGTGCCCAGAATTGTACAGTGTACAACCCAGACAACCGAAAGCAACAGCCCTCCGCCCCCTTCATATGTTACCATTCCCTTCAATTACTTCAACCCCTCATGAAAGAAATTCTTACCCCCTAGAGCTCTAGGCAGTGCCCGGGTAGAGACCATAAATGGGAATGACGGCTGCCTGCCCACCTCCCTCCTCCGGTGCTCCCAGACAGGGAGGAGTGAGCTACCAAGGGGACAGTAACCAGCAGCAAAGCAAATTGGAGCCACAGCAGGGCCCTCGGTGGTGACAGGGGCCCCGGGGAACAGTTCCAGGGAGACAGCTTGGGAAGGCAGACACAAAATGTGTGCTTTCCCTCCGAGAGCTAGAAGCAGCAGCTCCTTACACAGAAGAGACAGAGGTGTGCAGATACCTGGATCACATCAGCAGTAAAACTATACGGAAAGTGTGTGTCAGAAAGGTGTGTGAGCCAAGCAGCATAAGAACGGTGCACGGAGAACACCAGCTTCACACCTGTAGGTTTGGGAGACCCACCTCCGAGGGTGTGAAGTGACTCCCCCGGGGTGAGCTGTGGGCAGTTGCAGGCAGAGCAGAAACTTCTCAGACCACAGCCAGGCCTGGCCCCCGAGGAGGAGGCACTCGACAAGACTGAGACTGGGTCCACCGAGGGTCGCTGGGAGGAGAGATGCCATCCAGCCTCAGCCTGAGGGTGACCGCTCCCCAGACCTCCCCGGGCCCCTCACAAAGGCCGCCCTGTCCTGGGCTCAGCTCAGCTGGAGCTCTGGCTACCAGAAAAGACGGCGTCAGGGACGGGCATGGGACACCGCAGGGAGCTCTGGGGCGCAGTGACTCTGGACTCAGCCCAGGGTTCTCTTGTCTGCCTGTGGCAAGCGTGGTGGGCGAGCTGGGCGAGCTGGGAGATGGGTCATTTCCCAACAGCTCCACTAGGGGTCATCACAGCCCCTGAATGGAGGGGGAGCGGGGGCTAAACCCACCCCATCCTTCCCCCCCCCGCAGCCCACCCTCCCCTCCCCAAGCTCTGAGGGACAGATGTCTAGCCAGTGGGATGGTGGCGGGGGGTGGGGGGAAGTGGTGGTGGAGAAATGACTCTTGAGACTTCTGTGTTGTCCCCCGACAGTTGGGTGTGTGCAGGCAGGCATACACTTCATGAAAATCCCGTGACCGTAGGTACCCGCAGGTGGCCCTGTGCATGTGGGAACAGGAACGCGGACGCAGACTCAGACAACGGTACAGATATAAGGAACGTGCGTGGACGCGCGTGAATGCCTGAGCGTGCCCGTGGGAATGGGTGTGTGCGCACACAGACGTGCGTGTGATCGAACTCTAGCGTCCGGGATGCGTGGCGTTCGCGCTCACCTGGGCAGGACAGTAGCTACGACTATGTGTATATGATAATACAAGTGTACGCACGAGCCTGCTGGGAGTGCGGGAGCGTGTTCGCGTGAGCAATGAGTGTGCGTGGGCACGGGGGTAACACACCGTGGGAGGGTGTGCGTGGATGTCTGCAGGGTGGTATGCGTGTGGCTGAGCATGTGTGAGCACGGCATTTGTGGGGAGACGCGTCCGCGAGTGTGCACGGGAGCGAGCGTGAGTGTGCGAGCCGGGGCTCCCGGGGCTGAGTGGGAAAGGGCACGGCGTGTGGAACGAGCGTGCGGAAGCTCCTCGAGGGCGGGAGAGCGCCCACGTGAAGGGCGCCTCCGTGTGCCCCGCTGCGCGTGCGCGTGAGCAGGCGAGTGTGCCGTTGGCGCCCCCAGCCCCGCGGTCCGGGCCGAGCCCGAGCACACCCGGTGAGGGAAGCACGGCCCAGGCTCCCACCTGAAGATTGGCCCAGTCCTCAGGTTTCACTCATGACCCTGTGACATCAGCGGCAGCAGCTGTCCCCGCCGGCCGGCCCCCCGGCCAAGTCCCCCAGAGTCCCAGCCCCAGCCCGAGGTGGGCACGGCGCTCCAGGCTCGGCCGCAAGCACTCCGCTCCTGTCCAGCGGTGAGTACCGCACCCCCGCCCCGGCCGGCGCCCCGAGGGCCGGCCACCCCGAGCGAGGAGCCGGGCACCCTGGCCCCACGCCCAGCCTGGCTTCAAGGAAGCCAGCGCTTCGCTCCGGGCACCGCTGTCCTCCTGCCCACGCCGGGCCCCGCTCTGCCCGGGCCGCGCCGAGCTCCTTGTGCCTTGACCCTCCCCGTCCCCAAACTCGCCTCGTGCGGGCCCCCCCATCAGCTGCCCTCGGTGCCCCGGGCTGCCCGTCTTTGCCCCCAGCAAGGGCCCTCGCCCTGGTCACCCATGGCCCGGTGGCGAAGGCTCGGCTCCAGGCGAGCGCAGGGTGACCCCGGGGACGGGACGGGGCTGAGTGTCTTCAGGACAGGAGAGCAGAGGAGCCAGAAGCCCGTTCCCAGGGCCCGTTCAGCCTGTTCCGTGGCTCCGTGGCTCGGCTCTCAGAAGGCAGGGCTGTGGGGGGAGGAGAGCGGCGGGAGGCCGGGTGGGGGGTGGCGGCGGCTCCTTTGCTCTGCTGAAACAGGAATCTTCCAGATGCCAGCAGAGGACACATCTCAGGCTGCACGGCCCAGGCTCTGCCCACCGCCCCGGCCTCTCCCCGGGCAGCTTGTGGCAAGGCCGGGCTCCTTTCCTGGATAAGTGGGGAAGGCAGGAAGCCTGGCCCGAGGGGCAGAAGATGGGCCCAGGGCCCTGAGGGGCCGCTGGGGGCTTCAGGAGGGGACTCGGGCCACGGTGTGGGGCCGGGAGCGCGGTGCCAGGGCAGAGCGCAGCCCCCCACCCCCTCCCTGCTGGCAGAGCCGGGTCCCCGGGGCCGGGGCTGGGGGCGGGTGGGGGGGGTCGGGCAGCGGCTAGGGCAAGAAGCCGAAAGGTCTGAGCGGAGGTAGGAGACGGGGTTTGGGAGGAGTGTGATGCCACTTATCAGAGGGAGGCATTTGTTCCAAAGATTGGGGAGTCCCCACCTAGAGGGCCCTGAGGGTGGGATGGGGGCTTCTGAGGCTTTCCAGGAAGGCACTGGTGTGGCACAGAGGGCCTGGGCGCCTTCCCACTCCGAGCGGAGAAGTACCCTGTCTCGCGGCCCCTCCCCCTGCCCGGGGCACAGGGCCCGGCTGAGAGGGCTCACACTGCCCCAGGGTGGGGAGGGGGCCCTCCAGGTGGACACTAAACATGTCCCCTCCCACCCATACCACCTGCAGCGGGGGACCGGCCTGGAAAGAAATCACCCCAGAGCCTGGGATGGGCAGAGCCTGAAGCAGCCTTGAAGGCCCTTGAGTTTAGCCTCGATGGAGGAGCCGGCTTGAGGAGAGTAGCTCCAGGCCAGTTTGGGGCCAGTCTGGCTAGTCTGGAGAGGGGAAGGGGCTGACGGAGAGGTAGGGAAGAGCCAATGGTGAGCACTGTTGTCATTCGTCTGTGACCAAGGCTGTGACTGCCCCTCAGGGCCCTGAGCTGAGCTAAGGAGACCCCAGGGGTGGCAGTCGGGGGGGGCACAGGAAGAGGACTGGTTCTCCCAGGACCCTCCCGATTCTTCTGGGCCGTCCCCAGTCCCCTGGCCGTGGCTGGCGGCCTCCCGCTGTGTGGCAGTGTTGTGGACCGTTGTGGTTAACACACACGTCTTTAGAGCCACATCATCTGTGCGGGCGATGCAGGGTCCCAGACATAACCCAAGGGCCCACTCCTGTGTCCATCCCAGGCATCTCTCAGGGGATCGGCTGAGATTTTTAGTGGGGTTTGGGAAGATAATTAAGGGCCCTTCCTAGGTGCCCCTGTTCTAGCCTGGCTCTGCTTGTCATTTCTGGTTGGGAACTTGCCTGACGTGGGGGCTCAGGACTCAGAATCATCTTCCCAGCTCTAGGCTGGCCTGAGCATCAAGGCCTGCCTATGGCTTCCCTCGCCAGGGCTTCTGGGTCCCACCGCCGGGCCCAGGCCACGGGGAAGCCCTGAGTTCAATGCTGAAAGCACACATCTCCTGGCCGGACAATGGGGGTGGTCCTGACAAGGTCCCTGCCTTCGGAGGCAATTCTGGCCCACAGGACAGAGAAAAGTGTAGAGAGTGGCAGGGACGGGGTAGGGGGGAGTCCAGCTGGGAATGGAGTTCAGAGAAGTCTCCCAGGGCCAGGCACAGCCAGAGAGGAGACAAGGGATTGGACCTTACCGAGAGGAGCGGAAAGGCTCTCTCCAGGTGACGGGAGAGAGATGCATTGACCGGAAATGAAAAATCTGAGGCCTGAGGTCCCAGAGAGCAAGTGGGGAGAAGGGAGGGGACGTCAACACCCAGGTTGTGCAAGCCTTCCGTTCCTTGACTCGTCTTAAGGGAGGGTTCAGGCTCCGAGGGTCCTGTCACTTGCCTGAGGCACACGGCTAGTGAGGGACGCTGATGCTGGTGCCGGGCTGGGTGGGGGGGCGGAGTTCGCCCCTGAGACTTGGGGGCGGCGGGGCAGGGGGTTCCCGTGGGCAGCCCGAGGGCTGGGGCAGGTGCCGGGCCTCCTGCAGGGGTCCCCAGCTCTGCAGCAGCAGAGACAGGCCATGGTTCCCAGGGGCTCCTTTGGGAGGTGCTTATGGGGCTGGGCAAACCCCAGGTTCCCTCTACCTCCACCACCCCTGCCCCAGGCCTTTCATGTGCTCTGGCCCCCCTTCTGCCTTGTCAGCAACAGCTATTTTTATTCCCGGAGGTTTTCAGTCAACAGCCATCGCTGGGGGGATGGGGCAGCGGGAGGAGCAGGAGGGGCTCAAGGAGCAGACAGGGAGGGGGTGGCAGAGAGCTGTGCCCCTCGAAGGGCAGGCTGCCCCTTCCCCTCAGGCCTTGCTGCCCTCTGCCAGGAGCCCTAGCATAAATGCAAAGTACAGAACCACAATGGTCACCAGACCCCACTCCGCCTGCCCCGTCCCCCCTCCACCCCCCACCCCCTGCCCGATAGGTGCTAGAAGGACATGGTCCATGTAGACTTGAGTGGTGGTATAGCTTAGTCCTTAAGTGCCAGGCGCTCTTTCGAGAGCCCCAAGGGCCGGGTTTCCAGCCCCAGTCTACTATATAAATCACCTCCAGCAAGTGACTTACCTTCTCTGTGCCTCAGTCTCCTTCTCTGTCAAATGGAGTGATAATACTAGGATCATGGGGAGGATTAAAAGAGCTCATGAATGTGAGGTGCCCAGAACAATGCTTGGCAAGTAGTCAGTTCTACGTAAGTGTTAACTAGTAGTTAATTATCGTGCCTCTTACCAGGCTGTGACTCTGAAATCAAGAGCTCATCTTGTGGGGGTAGGGGGGAGGGAGCGATGGAAGGAGGGAGAGGAGCTATAGAAGGAGGGTCTGCCTGGCAGGAAGCAGGACAAACTTATCCGGGCACCCTGCATATCTGGGAGGAGGGCTCTGTTTTTTTCCTGTCTGGTCTCCCTCAGGTGAGGGAGATCCTGGTATAAAGTGGATGGCAGACCCCTTCCACGAGGGTCCACGGTTGACACATGTTTGCTGTGAGGACAGTGACGCCAAAAGCCAAGCAGAGTCCCTCCGGCTTTCATTTCAGTAAGATCTGCTCGTGACCCCAGTGTCTTTTGAGGATTGTAAGTTCTTGATTGGCCTTAGTTGGGGAGAAAGACCTTTTACCGGGGTTGTTGGTAGGAAAACATCCCTGGAGCAGTTTCTGGGGTAGAGCGAAATTCTCGGAGGTAGTGGCAGGGCCCAGCTGGCTGAAGGGGCAGAAAGAGTCCGCCAGCCTCCCTTGTGGGTTCCCGGTGATGGGGCTGGGGCTCCACAGGCAGTAAGAGGGCCACTCTTCCTGGGGCTGGTGACGGTGATCCCCAGCTCCCAGGACCTGGCAGGCATGGGGGGCCCACGTGGGGAGGGCTCAAAGCCCACCTTACCTGGATGGTTGGGGGTTGATGGAGGAAACGGGGAGCCAGGTGGGCTCTGATGGGTTTTGAACAGACTTCCTGTCGCCTTCTTGGTGGACCCATGGCAGGAAAGAGCCTGTCTGCCATGGTCTGGGAGACCATAAGAAGAGCACAGAGGCAGCGGTATCTTCCAGGGCAGACTGGAGGTAGGAACAGGCAGGGCAGGGGAAGCAGCCCTGTGTGCAGGGGGTGGATCTGCCCAAAGGCAGGCCCAGATGTGTACAGGAGAGGGTGTGCATGCACAAGTTTGAGGGGTGGCATCCATAGAACCCTGGTGGTCATGCTTGGGGGCTCCTTAGAGAGAGCCGAGCTAGCAGAGGGCAGGAAGCCTCAGGCCTGCGTGGAACTAATCAGCCTCTCCACCCTCTGGAGCAGCTGGGAAATGACTCATAGAAGCAGTGTGTGTGTGTGTGTGTGTGTGTGTGTGTGTGTGTGTACCAGTGGGCTGCAGAGGGCCTTAGGGGGTACATGAGGGTCGACTGGTATAAAAGAAAGTCTCTTTACCAAGTTGTTGACCTGTAACCCCCACTCCCACGATTCTCAACACATACGGCCCCAGGAGGCCCAAGTCTAGTCCTGCCAGGGCCTGCCAGACTCCCACCCCAGCTGGTGTGTTTTAGGGGTTTGGCCCAAGGACCCTGGTCTGCCTTTTGAAGAGGACAGAGAGGTGAGGGTCAGGCCAGCCCAGTCCCCCAGAGGGCTGGCGGGGGAGGCAGCGTTTGTAGGAGTAGGCACATGGATTTGCCTCAGAGAGCTGCATTCGAATCCTGCCTCTGCTGCTTGTCAGCTGGGAGGCCGAGCCTGGAGCGGTGCCAGGCACTCAGTGAGCACCAAATGAACGTATCCATGACTGCTTTCTTCAAGAAATAATTCTTCAGCCTCCGCCTCAAGGGCCTATGCATGTCAGCATGCTGGGTGAAGGGGTGAAATTTGGGGGCCGGAGGAACCAACCTCCTTCTCTCCTAACAGACTCTTCCCCATGCTGACTGAGGTCGGAATTCCACATCTTAAGATGAATTCCTTTGATTTGAGGCTCAGTCTTGGGAGGGGAAAGCCACTCGTGGGCCTTTGCTTCTAGGGAGAAAAGGCTTCCAGGGCCGTCGACAGAT